CAAAACCGACCGGTTATTGTAATTATTATTGCTATTATTTATTTATTCCAGTTTTGACCATGAAAGAAAAAGAATTAAATAAAAATAAAAATCCAGGTCGCTTACACCTTACGCAGACACGTAGTCGACACGTACTCGAGGGCTATAAAACGGAAATGAAGTAATCAGTTCTGTTCATCCATCATCCCCTTCACTCGAAGGACACCAAATCCATGGTTGATCATTACAAACTCCGATCGCCTCTCCACTCTCTTCTCCCTCCGACTACGGAGCCCTGGATGATCATTACGTCTAGGGTTTCACGAATCGGAATGAAATCAAGTACGGCTCGGAATGAAATCAAGTACGGCGCATGATGGTATGATTCTCTCAATCGGGGAGAGATCGACGATTTTGTGCATTGGATGGAAGGTCCTCCCCTCGCCGCAATTCTATTTGCCAGAATTTCAAACCCTAAATACATTACGAGTATTTTTTTTTTTTTGCTTATTGCTTACCTTGGAATCCCAATTTCATCTTGTTCGGCTAGGGTTTTTAGTGGGTGCGGACCGTGTAGCTCTTCTATTCTTTGCGTCTGCTGTGCTGTTCTTATTGGGGATGAAAGAGCTATCAGAATGAAGTCGACGAGGAACGGTGACTCTTGAATCTTTGCATCGCGGACCCTTTTGTAAGGTCCTTCTGCTCTCTCTCTCTCTCTCATTCATCCACCTTCTCATGATTTGCTTATCTGTTTACTTCTCAATCTCAATTTCCTCTACTATTGCTTGGGGTTTTAGTGGGTGCAAATCTCAGTTTCCACTCAGATTCTCATGGCCAAACCTGAAGCCACCTGGATGAAGAGAGGTAAACAATATTTTTTCGTACCGTTCTTAAAGTAAATAATACTTTTACTTGTTTTTTTCTTTCATCGTTTGCCTTTGTTGGTTACGGTATGGGAAATCTGCGAGCTGTATGCGGTGGCTTCGGGTTTGGCAATGCTGGGTAGGTTTTCTCCCAACATTTATCTCATTTACTCTAGAATTTTATAGAAGCTCAGATTTGATGATGCTCATTTACTCTAGAATTTTATAGAAGCTAGCATGTATTAAATTCCTGTGGAAATTTTTTGAACACGTGTTATGATAATGTCTGAAAATATTTGCATACTTCATATGGACTACTATGATTATGGTTTTGAGTTTTATGTCCAGCTGGGGCCTTTTTAATTTATTTTTGTTGTCTTCTGTTCCCACGTTTTTTTGGAAATGATCAATGTGTGAACCTAATCCTAACTATGAAATTAACACAAAGAACTAATTAGTTATGATTGGATCTGGACACAAGTTTAGGAATTTGTTATATGAGTTGATACGACTTTGAATCAAAATTGGCAAAACTTAGGCTTGTCTGGGGGATATAATAGCCTAGTATAATAGCTTAGCTTTGCAAGGATGTAAACCGTACATTGCGGATCAAAAACAACAAAAAAATGCGGATATAGTTGAATGGTAAAATTTCTCCTTGCCAAGGAGAAGATGCGGGTTCGATTCCCGCTATCCGCCCAAGATCAGGATAATAGCTTAATGTTTTTATAAGTTTGTTGAATAAGAAATGTCTACTGATGCGACGTCCCAAACATGTATAACCCAACATTGTTTTAAAATATAGAGTTACCAGCGTAGATGGTTAATACCAGATTGAAATTTATACCTTGTGCAAAATACAGTATGGTGAGATCAATGCTTTCACTCTCCATCACTGAGTAAAGAAGAATTTGACCGGTGATGAAGGTCAATCTTTTCTTGAAAGTGAGATGGTGAATGTCCTTGGCTTCGGTTTATGGTTGTCTTACAGACTTGACTTGTCTTTCCTAGTTTCCACCAAGTACAAAGAATGGCATGACCCTCTTGAGTGTCATCAATTGATGTGACAAATCTGGGTATTAGATCTTTCTTCAATGTTTTTGCCTTTTGGAGTGCAATTTACTTTCTTATAGTAGTTTTGTGGTTGCTAGATTGGTTATCAACCAAGACTTCCCTAATTGCACATATCACCTACAAACCATTGTTGCTCTCCATTTGCCATATTCGGTCGTGGCAAATTTTGGAGCTCTCCTCGCAGCCATGAGCACTGAGCAGAAAGCAAGAATCTGTAAGTGACCTATGCTGTAACATTCAATTGCTCTATTTTATTTTATGTTATTAACTGCGCAATGGTGCTAAACAGTTCAGTTCCTAGTGGAATTAGTCAAGTTGCTGAAAATAAATTTAATGGATGTGGGTATGGGTATTCTCTTAGGAGGTATGTATATCTATCTTATATCTGTTCATTGAACTTGAAATACTTGCAATATCACTTATACGGTGCTGTGCAGTCATTTGCATCTCCTTGCTGCGTGTTTATAATTTTGTGATAATTATTGCAACGAACCTTCAATAATGAATTCAAGATTTCATTTACGGGTGTTGAAGAGAAAATTAGTTTAGAAATTGGGGACTGGTTATTTGCTTTCTCTCTCTTTTTGGGTTTATTTCCTGAATCTTTTAAACTTTGATTGTTCTTATTTATTTATTTATTTATTTTTGGGTTAGAATATAGTACTTAAACGCAATCTTAAAAATTCTGGCATTTCTTTCAACCCATAAGCCCCTACCCGCAAGCTATCTTTGTTCGGTTCTTAAACCCAAGACAAGAATGTCTCAGAGAGAACTCAAATGACTTGTTACGCTATAGTTTAACACCTAAGACAAGCTGAAATTTTGGAAAACTGCTCCCCAAAGATTCCTACGTACTGGCATTGGAAAAATAAATGGCTGGAGTCTTAAGTGGCTTTTAAATAATGCTTTGAATTTAAGCTCCTTTGAAGTATATATTGCCCATAAAAGGTCATTCACCTTCCTCGAGTATTAAGTTTTCCCAAGACGTAACTAGACCAATGCTTTGAATTAGAATTTTTGCAACTCTTGCTGGAATTAAGGATTGTTTTGCCTAATTAAGATTTCCAAAAATTGTATATCGATAAGAGGAATATAATTGGAGGTAGCATTAAGTTAAATAGGTAAAATAGTAGAAATGGACAATGTAGGTAAAAATCACCATGCTTGGGCAATAATATTGAAAAAGGAAGTGATTTCTTCTTCTTCTTCTTGTGGAAGTAGAATTAGAATTGAATACCTATGTACTGAGCCGTCTAGGCTTTGAACAAAGAAGTGGTTGTGGTTCAGGTAGCAAGATTACCGTGTCCTTTATTTCCCTCTCCCATCCTTCCCACTGATATAGCGGATCTTGGATTAAGCCAAGTTCATTCATGGCCAGCAAGGGACAAACCTCTCAATACTCGAAACTAATTAATTCTAAAATGTTGATAAACAAATTAATAAATTAAATTAACTTAATTAAATTATTTAGGACTTCTAAAAAAAAAATAATAATAATAATTAATTAGATAACTCGTAACAAACTAATATAGTTGTTATTTTTTCCCACATCACTGGCTATCTCTTCGTCTAATATCTTATTTTATTTATCTTTTCTTTGTTTTGTTTTGTTTACTTTGCTTTGATGTCGTGCATTACTTTTAGCCTTTACATTTTACATTATGCTTGATACTTTAGATTCACGGAAGATTATATTATAGAATCGACCCATTAGGAGAGGGTGTGAAATGACGTGGTTCTTTTGGTCGGGAGGTTTTTTCTCCACTTCTCCTAGCCTTGCTGAAGAGGTGAATATTGGAGGAAGGGAAAAGGAGAAGTTATAATATTATTAGACTATCGTTACATGGCAATCAACCTGCAGGATGGATTCCACATAAGGTTTACTAAAAAATGTTGCTGTTATATAACTTAGGTAACTACAATTTTTTGCTTGGTTTAGTCTCCTGCTTATTTGCTGCAGCGCTAACTTGTAGGACTGCTGAACTTCAAACACCCATCTCCACAAACGTTTCTTCAGTTTCTTGGAATTCAACTTGTTGCTTTCTTTCTTTTTCCATCTAAAATTGTTTTGATCATTGCTCTAATTTTGAACAGGAAATTCATGATGGAATCACTGTGCTTCCCTCTATTGGCTCATTTGTATGAGGTGCTAATCTATCATGCACAGGGAAGTAGTTTTACTTTTGTGGTTAAATACTGGCTCTAAATTTTGCTTGAGTGACTTTATTAGCTTGATTGGCTACAATTTTTCCTGTTCCCTTCAAGTTTATTATAATTGCTGTTCCCTTTTTAGGTTACAAAATGAATTAACAAAGTTATTTGGCTCTACGGAAAAAGGATAAGGCATGCTACTCTTCTAAACACTGTAGTTAGGTAAATTGCTAGCTGGATCATAGATTCTCATTTGTACATGATTAGTATCATTGTTGTGAAGTCTTGATTTATGTTTTATTTGTTTTGTTGTCAATTACACTTTGTTCTTATGTAATGGGGATGTTGTCTTCAGCCGTGGACACCCAAAATGGCTTTATGTTCGTACGTCTCATCATCTGAACTTGGTAATATTTTCTTTATATAATTTTCTTGTTATTTCACCATGCTCATTTGTTTACATGATTATCGAGTAATTTGTGGGATTTTGTTTGCTTCAAGTTTGATTGTTTACAACATTCTGTTCTCATGTAAGAAGTTGTTGTCTTTAGCCGTTGACACTTAAATTAGCTTTTTCTTATATGTCATATCATCTAAATTGATGAATCAGCTTTTGCTTATATGCCATATCGTCTAAATTGATGAGTCATTTGGTAATGTTTTCTTAAAATACTTGACTTTGTAAATTTTTTTAGGTTGTGATATTGTTTTTGTTTTCTAAAATAGCTTTTGCTTATTCACGTATTTTTATTCTCATTGATCTTTCTTTATATGTTATGTTGTACCGATATATCTAGTATAAAGATTATCTCAAAATATTTAGTACCTTGATAAATCAATTATCTCTCGACATATTGATTGTCTCTGTTTGTCTTGAAATACTTTTTTCCTCGATTTATGGATTTTTTCAAAATATGGGTTGCTTTAATTATGGACTATCCTGAAATATTGGCTTCTTTGAGGTACAAATTCTCCTGAAAATTTGTTAGCCTCTAAAGTTCCTCGGATATAAGTTGTCTTAATATATCTTGAGAAATTGGTTGTCTGAAAATGTCTCATAAAAGTTGGTTGACTCACAATATCATGAAATATCATGAAATATATAGATTCTCTCAAATTGGCTGGCTCAACTCTTTAATATCTCGAAAAATCGGTGCCTTGAAATGTCTAGAAATGTGGGTTGCTTCAGTATGTTTCAAAATATTTATTGCCTCGATATGTTTCATAATATTTGTTGCCTCAACATGTCGTGACATATTAGTTTGAAATATAGATTATCTAGAAATGTCTTAAAATATTGGTGTCTCAAATATAGATTTCCATGTTAGAATATAAGAAAAACGTATATTTCTATACATTGTCACTGTGGAACCATTAAAATTTGTGAAGTAAATTTCAATGATTTGTTTATTTTGGGTTTCTTCTTGCATGGAATTTCAGTACAAAATTTGGGTTTAACAAAGCAACCAAAGCATAGGCGAGGTGATGCTCAGATACATGCGCCATGCGCCACAATAATAAGGGTTGGATCCTTACTTATTCTTCCTCTTCTCCATGATATAAATCTAGATACAGTAGCTAAATTATTGTTTGGATGAATTAATTTCCAGTGATTGACCCGAATAGGCTTGAAGTGGAAGCAAGAGATGGACCGCGAAATGGAGAATTCCAACTAAAATGCATGATATAAATGAGAGAATTTACTATAATGTTAGTGATGATTGATTGTCTTTTAGAGTTACATAACCTGAAGGAATTTGCACGGACTTGATAAGTAGATAGCGTTTGATTTATAGTTCTATCTTATTATAAGAATCTGCTCACCGAAGGGAAAGGACTTCTAAATTGATTGTTTTTAGTGAAGGTGGTCATATGATATGATTTCTTATGTTCGTTGTAGCAAGTAAGAGATCTCGTGGACATTGCTTATTATAATGTGGTTGTTGATATCTCCCATTCTTCTACCGTTGACAAACTACAACTTCATGATTTATCCTTTTAAAACCTTATAAATACTGAATTTTCATGTGGTTTCACTTCTTAGTGTGCATCTTTTTTGCCTATATTTTGCACTGTCATATCATTTAATGACTGTAGTTACTTTTGGTCTGTTGCCCCAGTGACAGGTCAAGTTTGGCAATGGCTTGGGTCTCTTGGTCATAACGGCTTAGAGGTCTCAAATTCGAATCTTCTGGTGGGTTCAATACCAAAAGACTTTGGGGTTAGATTCTTTATATACCATTGGTTAATTCAAGAATTGGAGATGAGATACTTCGGAGGGAATCGACAAGAGAAAATAGAGGAACCTCTTCTTCCAAGGTATACAATGACATCTTGCTATTATAATTAGATTGTTAGATCTCTTGTGACGTGAGGATATTCATTTTCTCTTTTGTTTTCTCAAAGTATGCCTCCCCTCAGAGTGGATCCTAAAGGAATGAAATGGGGTCTCCCAAAATCAAATTTTGGGTGGGTTAATTTTTTAAGCATGATACTCTTCTTTTATAGATATTTCTTTCCAACTACTTGATTGTATTTGCACCTGTACCACGGTTCTTTGTTTCTATAATATTCTTTTCTCATGTTAAATTTCAACTATCTGAATTGAAATTAAGATTTTTGCTTCAAAAATAAATGTGAGGAGTTATTTGAAAGTGTATAAAATTCAATGTTGAGTTATATATAGTACAATAATCTTCGTTGGTTCTCTTCTCTGTTTCACAACGCAGCTTCTCTAATCAATATTCCAATCCATTGTCTTGCCAGAAGAGATTCCTCTTCAGTTTAATGTACTATTTTATGCGATTATTTAAGAAAATTTTATTTGATTTTATTATTTTTAAGTATATTTGATTTTTCAAAATCACCCTTAATACTTTAATAATCTTAATTTTTCTTAATATCAATTAAATTCGCTATGGTCAATGGAAAGAAAAGTGATTTTTACTCCCAAACACACTTGTAGGTGGTTTTGAAAAATCAGATATCTTTCATTCATCCTATCATCACTCTCAAACACACCCTTTAGTTTTTGAATTTTAATTGTAACGATTTAGTCATTATATTTTCAAATTGGTAATATTTTAGTTTTTGTTAGAATTAAATTGTTACAAATTCTAAATTATTACTTGGCTAAATTATAACCAATTTTAAAATAGAGAAGTTGATCATTACACATTAAGGTTCCATCGGTGAATCTCATGACAAAATTATATGGACGGAATTTCCTTTTAAACCCTTCTTTTTCCTCTGTCCCCAAGCCATCTTCTTTCTCTTTCAAACTCCCCTATAATTGTATGTGCTTAATTTTAGGGATTTTATTTGGTACAACAACTTGCAAGTTGGAATCAATTATAAATAATCAAATTTAAAAAATTAAAATATAATTTAAAAATTGAAAGTATATTTTAGAAGTATATAAATAAAAATAAATATTTTTATTTGGGTCATTTATGCAGTTGTCCCATTTTATTTTTTTGTTCAGCAGTAATTGGTATTCTTGAGGTCCATCCCCTTTGATTATTATTATTATCATTATTATTAAATAAGCAAATGATATATGCTTTTGCTTTCGAAAACTTAGCAGTTGTACAATCCGTAGTCTTTAATGACATCAGTTAGATCGAGCTTTAAACAGAAGCTCATGAAATATACTATGTGTATTAGGTCCAGCCCTTTTTGTTGTTATTTATTATTATTTAATAAAAGAAAATTTTGTTTTAGTCATTTAGTTGCTTTTGCTTCCTCTTCACGAAAACTTTTGCAACGGTACAATTTATGGCCTTCTTCCTCTCGTTCTAGGTTCTTGAGAATTTCGTGATATAAAAATTAAATTAAATTGAGTCAACATTTTGAATTTTGTTATACAAAATATTAGAGTTTCAAATGCAGCCCAAGATAATAAACAAAGCTCATTCTCTAACAGGCCCACCTCGATTGATAATAAACAAAGACCATTCTCTATGAGGTCCACCCCAACTATTGATCGAAGTCTAAATATCTACCAGAAAAATGCATTCGAATTAAATGAAAAATGTATTTTTTTAGTACGTGGGAAAAAAAGTAATTTAAATTAAAGGTAATTAAAACAAATGATATTATAATTTTATTTTGAGTTTGCTTATTCTTCACGCACGCTAACGGCTATAAGATGTAGGGGTTCGCGGTTTACTCAAATGTTCGTTGCTCTCCCTCTCTTTGGCGCATCTTCAGTTCATGGAGTCAACCATC